TTTTTGGCTTACTAAAATTATTAATTTTTTATATGGCTTTGAATAAAAAAAATTTAGAGACCCTCTGCTATAGAGTATAGATGATAGACATCGTATTGGGATTACAGAGTATTATTTTCAGTGTATTCCTAGCCACTTACAATTATATTTAAATATAATATGTTTGCAGATAAATCTAATTTTTGTTTCCTGCCAATAAAAATTTTGATCTCTTTCATTAATTTTTGCTTAAAAAAATTAACTTTATAAATTTTATTTACTCTCGGTAATTATGTTACATTATTTATAGACAATTTGCAAAAAAGAAGGATTAACACTACCAGATGAATTGGCTTTAATTATCTCTCAGGGTTGTGAACGAAACTTAAGGCGAGCTATATTAATGTTAGAAGCTAGTAAAGTAAAACAGTTAGTATTGACATTCATATTTTATTTCATTATTTTTAAAATTATTATAAATATTTGTAATTTATTTTTGAAATAATAGGTATCCTTTTGATGTAAAACAAAGTGTTGTTGTACCAGATTGGCAACTTTATATTGGTGATACTGCCAAACAAATATTAAGCCAGCAAACTCCTGGAAAATTGCTTGAAGTTCGATCAATGCTTTATGAATTGATAGTTCATGGTATTCCAACAAATGTGATTTTTAAAGTATGTAAAATAAAATAATTCTATTATTGATACAGGCATACATTAATGAACATACAATTTTCAGTTTTTACTTAAAGAGTTGGTGAAAAACTGTGACATTTCTTTGAAACATGATATTGTTGATATAGCATCATTTTATGAACATAGTTTATTAAAAGGTAATAAAACTATGTTTCATTTAGAAGCATTTGTTGCTAAATTTATGTTACTTTATTCTAAGTTCATGGAAGAGTCATTAAATGGTATATTTTAATTTTTATTTGTATGCATAAGTTRGATTTATATTTACTTTAAATTAATTGCAAAACAACATTGTACATTTAATTTCTATTTAATTTTTATAATATAGAGGTTGAACATTCTTTTATTGTAATTACCTTCTTATTTAATAGCTTCTTAATTTTCCAATTCTTAGCAGTAAATAATAACTGTCACTTTTTCCCATTTTCTCATATTCTGCTGTACTGTATCCCTCCAATGTTTCATAGTTCTCATCCTTTAGTCCTGTTATTTCCTTTCAAACTATCGACTTGGTATTTTCCTTACTAGTTAATATAAATTTAATAAAAATACATATAATAATAATTCAAGCTTCTAGTAAAATATTATTGGAAATAATTGAATATAAAATAATCCTATAGTACACTTTAACTTACTGCCAATTAATCAAAAATAAAAGAATATGATACAGGTTCAGTTGACTATCGAGTTAGCTTCATATAATATTATTGATTTTACAAACAATTATGTGCTCAGATTAGCTTATATTTTTAATAATATTGTTAAAAAWTACTTCTTACAATTTTCACTTTATAATAATAATAATAATATAGTAATTATAAAACCAATTAACAAAACATGACTCTTAGTTCAAGTAATAGCCAGTAAGATGTATACTACATGTCTGTTGACAAGAAAATACAACACTAGACCCATAGTCTAATTGTATATCTATATTTGATTGATATTTATTACCTTCATGTAAGTGACATACTATTATTTCTTGATCGCTTGTAGATGGTTTTATTTTCAAAGTGAACTTAAATCTATTGTTTAACACAAATTGAGGTGTCTCATATTCAAATGTCCAGTCCATTGGCCGTCGAATAAATGCTCCATAATCAATGTCTATTACGGCCATGGTGAGACGTAATGTCTTTTTCACTGTTATAGTTTTATTGATTCCACATTTTGGACATAAAGTCTCTGAATGTTGTCGAAACATATTCACACACGAATTTACATCATTTGGAGTCAAAACTAATGAAAAAAATGTCATATTGATTTATACTTCAGAAAGATTTGCTGACAAAGTGTGTGAATGAAAAATTATAAAATAAATTGTTAATAACAATCTCTGTTTATATATAATAAATATAATTTTAAATCTTATCTGAAATAGGATATTTTTTTATGCCAAATCTATAAATTGTTATAATATGATCATTGGTGGTCAAGCAAATTGCAAGTGTATTATTCCCATAATGTAAATACATGAAATATGATAAATAAATGGCCTATGTAAGTTCACACACTGATAATTTCAACAGATTGTGGTTAAAAAAAAGATTAATATAATCAAAGAACTATTTATTTTTTCTGTGCTTTTATTAAAAAGTAAAATTCAATAATTCACCATTAATGTACTAACTGATAAAGATGACAAATAACTATAATCTTAAAGACATTGATATAKAAGAGCTTTGGTACTGAACAGATTTTTGACAAATTCATATTACCCATCTTTGATACATCATTAACAAAAACTAGTAATGCAATTAAAAAAGYGTAAGTAAGTAGAGATATGATCACTCTGCTGTACAGTAGGTTAGGTTAGGTTATAAGTGGGTTACTGTAATGGAGGGTATTAAATTTAAATTCAATGATATATCATTGTATACAAAAAATGGTTTTAAGTAGAGATAGTTTGTCAGTCTAGGATATGTTATAATATATTAATTATTATATTGTTATTATCTAAAAAAAAATTAAATTAATTCCAATTTAATCAAATCAACAATATTACTAAACAAGTGTTTGTAAAGTTTTAAATTTTTTTTTTTTGCAGAATTAATTACATAATTACATGAAACCTTGTTTTAAATTTTCTATCCTTAGCTATAAATTTTAAACAACGAAAGAATTTGTAAATTTTCAATTAAATAATTTTGTTAAAATTTGAACTTGAAATGGTTATAAAAAGATAACGTGCCTAAGTATTTTTAATATTTTTAAACTGTTATTATATACTTTTGGGGAACCTTATATTAAATTTACAAGTTTTATGACAGAAATTTCAAATGTCTATAAATAAATTAAAAATTATTAAAATGTATTGAAAGTTGATAAAACAAGCATATGGTGTAAATTTCAAGTTTCTTCAAATATTTGTTTTTGAATAATAACAAAATAAGAATATT